ATGATATGGGGATTGTGGGGTATGATATGGGGGTTGTGGGGTATGATATGGGAGTTGTGGGTTATGATATGGAGGTTGGAGGGTATGATATGGGGCTGCAGGGTATGATATTGAGGTTGCAGGGTATGATACGGGGTTTCAGGGTATGATATGGGAGTTGCAGGGTATGACATGGAGTTGAGGAGTCAAGAAGCCATCTCTTCTGGGTAAGACACTATTGGGGTCCCCACAATGGTGCTCCATAGCCCTGAAGAGTAACTAGATGCGCGCGCACCCCTGGGAAGAGCTGTGCTTTGGTTTCTGGGCAGCACTCCCTCTTGTTCCTGGGACTTGTTCTTCTTCTAGGACTTTCCTTCCTCTAAGAGTTCTCATGCTGGCCACCGTAGTCCAGGGTTTGTGTACCTCCAGCAGGCCTCAGGTTCTGAAATATGATCCCTCCCCCATTTCCCTAAAATAAAATTTGACTTTCCTCAGCCTACTCTCAACTAGCTGCACTAGAGGCATTGATCTGACAATGAAATTCATACTATAGTGTTAGTGACTGACAATGAAATTCATACTCCAGTGTTAGTGACTGACAATGAAATTCATACTCCAGTGTTAGTGACTGACAATGAAATTCATACTGCAGTGTTAGTGACTGACAATGAAATTCATACTGCAGTGTTAGTGACTGACAATGAAATTCACACTCCAGTGTTAGTGACTGACAATGAAATTCATACTCCAGTGTTAGTGACTGACCTAGAGGGATCTTGGTGATGTAATGAGCAGAAGGAATGAGACTTGCTTGGTGAAAATTCAGATACACTGACAGGCCAAGAGGAAAAGGCAAACTTTTTCCCTGCCTAGAATTAAAAACCTATTTTATTTGAGAGTTCATCTGGCCCTTCTAGAAAGTTCTTATAGGCCACCAGCAGATGTAGGAGAAGCAAGTGGCACTTAAAGAAAGTGGCAAAAAAATGTTTGGGGTGATGCAGAGACCCACCCACCACACGCAGGCATGTTGCTTTCCTGGGGAAAGGAGTCCTCTGGCTGGGAGGATCCCAGGGACCTGGAGGACCCATGGTGGCCTTAGTGACAGAGGGAGGCCCAGAGTCATGTCCTTGGCCCCCAGAGACTCCTCTTCCACAGCCACCACTCTTCTGCCTAATCCAGACAGCACCCCCTAGAAAGCAACAGAGCCTCCCCCAGCACACTCCCTGCACACAGGGGCTCACAGGACCCTGAGGGTCCCAAGGGAGGCAGGCACAGTCCCTCACTTCCCTTCAGGCAGGATCTGCCCCCTCTGGGCCTGCATGTGGGCTTGAAAAACAGCCCACAAGGTCCAGGGGCTGGTCAGCCCTGGCCTGGAGTTTGGGCCCGCACATCTCATCACAGCACCTCAGAGGTGCTGTGCCCAGCCGGGGTGGCTGCCCCAGGGTCTCCTGAAGAGGCATTTCCAGTGCCCACCTCCTTGTGTGCCCAGGGTGAGCCAGTTTCTATTTAAAAGCCACATTTTCTCTTCCTTCACCTGAGATTGGAAGACTTCTTTCACTCCCCGGGGTGTTAAGAGGGCCATGGCCCCTGCATCTGGTTGCCAGGAGACCGAGCCAGACTGACTCAGAGTTTCCGGAACCCTGGGGGTGGCCAGTGCCAGCTTTGTTAAGTCATGAATGGCTTCTCCCAGGCTTCTTTCCTCCCGGCCCCTCCTGCGATGCTCTGGGCCTCGTCACCTGCACCTGCTCAGGGACTGGAACCCTTGCCTCTCCCTCATAACCTGTTCTCCTTCAGGAAGTGAGCATCCTGAGGCTTCCTGTAAACACACACACACACACTTGCACACACATAGACACAGGTACACACACAGGTACACACGTGTACACACACGCGTGCACACACACACATGCATGCACACACACATACACACCTGCACACATGCTGCCCATCATCCTCATGTTCTTCTGACTGTAGCCTCATGCCTCCTGCCCACCCACAGGCCCGTGTTTGTCTCCACGGAAGAGACTGCCCCTGCTTGCTGCCTCCACGTCCTCCCTGACTCCTCCTATTAGGGTCTGGCCTCCCCGACCTCCTCCACTGGCCAGTAGCATCCATGGCCCTGTTTCTGGCGTCATAACTTTGCTTTGGGGTGCAGCAAACAGCTCTTCAGGGGTGTCCCCAAGTGTAGTGCCCAAGCCCCTGAAGGCGATGTTTGGGAGGGGTCCGCTCCTTTTCTAGGCCAGCCTTGCTTTTCTCTGTCCTGGAAGTCCCCTGGCACCCACCGGTCGCCTGAGAGCCAAGTCCTTCCTCTGCCTCACTGCCCAGAGTCCCAGTGAGGAAAAGCTGGGCCTACTGATTAGGGTTGGCGGGCAGGTGCCCAGGACCCCTGGCTCCCCAGGTCACCCCATTTCCCCAGTGGGTTGTCTTGGAAGAGGCTCCAGCCACCCTGAACCGTCATCCTCCTTCAGCCATGTGACTCCGTCAAGGCCCAGCCCACCTTCCTCCCGTCATGATGGTGATATTTCAGCGCCCTCACTGCCCTTCCTGACCACCTAGTCTTGAATGACTTTATACAACCACATGATTTCAATGTCCATCCACAGCAAATGACTCACACATTTACACAGTGGAGGTATTCACCCCTTCTCGCCTTGGGGTGTGTGACACATCACACCTCTCCCCAGAGAACGAATGCCTGCGGGCCTGCGCTGCCTGTGCGGTGTCCAGGGGTCCTCAGGGGCTTCTGAGCATTTGGGGTGTGTCACTGGCAGGAGTCCCGATCCAGGGTCAGACAGGGGTCTCCATGTCCAGGCTCCTCTGGCAGGGGCTGTCCTGAATGCAGTGTTGGGTGTGTCCCCCAGGCTGACACCATGCCTCGAGTCCTTCCCAAGTCTGTGGCCCCAGGACCTCCGCAGGATGCAGCTGGGATAGGGCTCCATACCCCAAGCCTAGAACCCCTTCTCATCCCCTGTCCCATCCTGCTCCGTTTTCTCAGAGTCAGTATTAGTATAGCGCTTTTTTCCTGCAATTATCAGAGACTCAGCCTGACCTTAGGCCAAATGCAAATGTACTGTCTCACATGACTGAGAAGTCTCAGGTCTGCTTAAGGCAGGCGGGGGCCAGGTTCTGGCACAAGGCTGTGAGGAACGCCTTCCTGACCCCTGGTTCTGCTTGCCTGGTCTTCATCCATTCTCAGGGTCCTCCCTAAATGCACTTCTAAACCCCCTCACCTGGCTGACTCTTAACTGACACCACAAAACAGCCTCTACGAAACTTAGTTCTTCTGGAAAACCCTCCAGATCTCTCTTCAACCCTGGCTCCTCATCAGGTGCCCTTCAATGCTTAAGCCATGCAGTGGCATGAATACGGCTCACTGCAGCCTCCAACTCCTGGCCTCAAGTGATCCTCCTGCCTCAGCCTCCCAAGTGTCTGGGACTACAGGTGCCCACTGCCATGCCTGGATAATTATTCTTAATTTTTTTGTAGAGTCGGGGTCTCACTATGTTGCCGAGACTGGTCCCAAACTCCTGGCCTCAAGCCATCCCCCTGCCTTGCCTCCAGAAGCTTTTGGATTACAGGTGTGAGCCACCATGCCCGACGGACTAGACCTCATTCTTGACTCCTCGCCCTCACTCCTTTCTAGCTGCCTTGAAGCTCTGGGAACTCTGCCTCCTAAACATTTATTGAGCCCATTCTCTTCTCTGTAACCCATTGCCACCCCAAGTAGAGTTCATTGCCATTTCTTGCCAGCCCCCACCCGCACACCTACACCATCCATTCTCCACACTGTTACCAGAGGTAACTAAAAAAATAAATCTAATTATGGACTGGTATTGACAAGAGCACTCCATAGGGTGCTGCTGTGTGGCATCGTGTTTCAGGAGGTGGTTACCCTGGTATATATACGTCTCACTTAAGATCTCTGAATTTTATTTTATGTAAATTATACCTTCTCCCCTTTCTCTACACACACAGATACATGTGTATATGAAATTAGACTATGTCAATTTCTTTCATCCAAACCTTCCATGGCTGCTCATTCATAAGCCCCAAGGCCTTCATGTGGCTGTCCAGCCTTGTGTGACCTTCTTTCTTCTCCAGCCCACACTGGCCTCTCGCCCACTGGCCTTGGCTTCACCCACACTCCCTCCAGGACTTTGCCTGCTGTCCTCTCTCCCTGGAATGCTCTTTCTTCCCTTGCTATCTAGATAACTCTTTCTGGTTTTTCATGTCTCAGCTTAATCATCCCTTTTTCAAGGAAATCTTTCCTGAGTCCCTGTCATGTGCTCTTGTAGCACTAAATGCACCCCCGGTAGCACTTTGCACGTTGTAATTTTTTCATTTCTTGTAGATGATTGTTTTAATGCTGCTTTCTCCTGGATTGTAAGACAAAGAGGGCATGTTGTTTTATCTATCACTGTGTTATTTACCGCTGTACATACCGCTGGCCCAAGCACCGCGCAAAGGCAACAAAATCTGTTGTGTTGCATGGCGCTGTGGCCTCATTTCTGTCATGGCTTCCACCGACATTGCACTTTGTGTATTGATCGAAAGGTGGCTTCCCCCCTAAATAGCCTCGTCCTGCAGGGCTAGGACAATGTCTTAGTCAGCCTCTGACCCTGGTTGCCCACTGGCAGGCTGGATGGTGGCTGGACTCAGTACAAGTTTAGCTGGTGAATACATCAAAAGAATACCAACGTGACTGTGATGGCAACGCAACAACGTGGTTATGGCAGAAGCCAACCCTATGTTCTGACTCATTATTGGCCACCATCCAATGTCTCTCTTGCTAAAAGACAACATGGGGCCATTCTCACAATCTCTCTGAGAGCGCCACTGCCAGAGTCAATGCCCTGGCAGGCTTGAAGCTTGTGCATCTGTGGTGCTTTCATTTCCCAGTTTACTGGTGTCGGGATGAATAATTTGGACATCTCAGTTTACCTATCCAACGGGCGCTGTTTGAAGTAAAAATGAAATAAAGACAACTCCCAGAGATTACAAAACACAAGCTGAAGAGCGCGTTTTTGTATAGATAGTTCTATTTCAACGAGCTTCCCAGATACAATTACTCTCTTTTAATCCTTGCAACAGTTCTATAAGATCCGAATATAATTATTAAGCTTTCCCTTCGAGTATATGAATGAAATGGCATTATGAGGATTAAATATCTTGTGCAAAAATCACTTAATTGTCAGCAATTGGCCATACTATCAGCCCTGCTGCAGGATTCAGGAGTTTTCCAGGTAGGGCTTGACATTTAGGCTTCTAGTAGTGCTAAAGCAGAGTTTACTTCACCACTTGCTTCAAGCTACAAGAATCATCTATACAATAGGGATTTTTGACTATCCTTGGTTGCAGCAAGATTTGACCTTAATTTTTCCCTTTTTATTCTCTAAATCTATTATCATTGTCAGTACGGTTTTTTATTCTTCATTGTCATCATCATTGAGCCCCTGCTAAGACGTGAGCTTGGATGCTGGAAGTATAAGAAGGTATATTGGGATGGTCACAGTTGATCTGAAAAGTATCCATCGTGATAGCGAGCCACATAGACCTTTCGGCCCACAGGCCCTCACTTATGTTCCAGATCAAGCACCCCGGAAGAGAGGTCGCGCGGTTGCGAGAGAAGGACCGGACAAAGGGCCTCAGGCCACCGCTATCAAGACAGAGGAATTCTAGGACTGGGAAGCCTCTGACT